ACCCCGACCTCACTGAGACCAGCTACACCTGAACTACACCTGATCACCCCGACCTCACTGAGACCAGCTACACCTGAACTACACCCCGTCTCCTCGACCTCAATCTGACCTATAGTACCACCACACCTGTACTACACCTAGTCAGCCTGACCTGGCTCTGGCCTCACGTGTCACGTGACCTTAGCTTGACCTGCCCTTGACCTCGCATGTCCATGCGGAAATTTGAGCTTGACCTCTCTCTGATCTCGCATGCCTGTGCGTTGATATTAGCAGGGCCTCGCTTGTCCGTGAGGTTACATCAGCCTGACCAGTCTCTGGCGGGAAGTGGCGTACCTTTGTGCAGGGCCTCGTTGGTCATGCGGTTGATGTAGCAGGAGCTGCTCTCAGGAACCAGCCACTTCATCACGGTGTTGACACAGGACTTCCTGTAGGAGCTCCACACGCTGCCACTGCGGGAGAGAGCCAGTCAGGGAGGGGAGGTGGGAGGAAGTGAGAGACAAGAGCAGGCAGACCTTGGTGCCCTTACCTGGTCTGACCCTTGACCTCTGTGAGCTCTCCCACCCCCACCGTGCGACAAACTCCTGTGCTCAGGTCCCAGGACACCTGCAGGCTGGAGTGGTAGGTATTCGGCCTGCAGACAGACGGAGACCAGAGGTCAGTTTCTGTCCTGCCAGCACCTTGAGCTTGCAGACAGGTAGGAGGACAGGGGAACACGGTCAGGAAGGTGGGGAACAGGGGGACATGGGGACAGACTAACCTGCAGTGCTCCTCCTCGGGTGTGGGGAAGGCCAGCAGGAGCAGCCCAATGTTAATCACCACGGTGTTCATCTCTGGACACACCTGACAGAGAGGAGAGAGGTGTCTCAGCGTGCAAGCACAGCCCTGTGCGCACACACTTCTGTCAGTGCGACACCTAGTGGCTGGTATCGAGAATGGAGCAATACCTAACCAGCCGCATAGCAGTCCGGGCTACACTGCCGGCGCTGGTGGAACAGATCACGGACACAGTTGATCAGACAACGTTATTAGATGTAAATTGTTGAGACTGCACCCCAGGGAAGTGGGTTGGGGCCGTGTGCCAGATTTTGGGTCTGTCTCACCTCCAGAATTACGATGTCGTAGTCACTGAAGGAGCAGAACTGGGGCGCCCAGGCAGCGTCATTGCGGATCACCTCATTAATCACATACTCAAAATCCAGCGTCAGCTGCTCCACACAAACGCACTGAGCCTGCGGAGGCAGAGAGGTTATACAGACACGAAGGAAAGGGTTATTCAGGGAGCGAGACGGGGGTTGTCCAGTCAGAGAGAGGGGGACAGGCAACAGAGTGCCGGACAGAGGCCTTACCTGGCTGGGCTGCTGTCCCTTCACTAGCCGCAGGCTGCGGCCCCTCAGGTCAGTCACTGTGAATGGCAGCAGCACCTTGTCATCCTCGTACTCTGACAGAGACACGGGGGAAGAAGCTTCTGTAACACCAGCTCCACCACATCAGACACTCATGCCAATCAAACACCGAGAAAGGGATGAGGACCAGAGAGAGGCTTCTGTCACACCAGCTCTGCTACATCAGTCAGTCATACAAATCAAAACACAGAGAGAAGGATGGGGACCTGAGAGAGGATTCTGTCACACCAGCTCCACCACATCAGACACTCATGCCAATCAAACACCAAGAGAGGGATGGGGACCAGAGAGAGGCTACTCATCACATTTCTGCAACAGGCTCCCTTTACACCAGGGAAGACAGCTCTGTGCACACTCACCGGTGTCCTGCTCTGGCGCCCCCGGTGGCTGTAAACAATATTGCAGCCTGGTGTAGTTCACGTAGCCAGGCTCCGTGGCCGAGGAAGAGAGGGTGGAGGAGGAAGAGGAGGACACAGAGCCGTGTGACTCACCCACACCCTCAGGGTCACGATCAACAGGGCTTGCCTGCTCCTCTGACCCCGAGAGCTCCCGAGTACCCCCTGAGGAGGAGGAAGGTACAGGACTCTCTCTCCCTGCCCTGGTCTCTTCCTCTGTAAGCGCATCTCTGCTGTCTCCCCGCTTGCCCCCCGCTTCCTCTCCACTACTGTTTCTCCCCCGCGCTCGTCTGAAGATGTCTGCCGCGAATTCCCGTGCCCTGGCGGCAGCCTGCGACTGGTCAGGCGAGGGAGATGGGGGCTGGGGCTTGCAGGGGTCCTGTGTCTGATCGGGGGACGAGCAGGGAGTCCCAGGGGCTCGGGAGGAGGGAGAGGGAGAGGGCAGCACCACGGGCCGGGAGGGCAGTGGCGATCCAAGGCCCCTCCTCCTGTACAGGATCTGACTGGACTCCCCCTGATCCCCTGCTGAAGACACAGAAAAATGGGGAGAGTGAGAACGAGGAATTCACAGCTTCCTTTCACTACTGATCATAACTCAAAAACCAAAGCAGTAATAGGACACTTAGACAAGGCTACCAGCGGATTATAGTTAACTTAGTAACAACGCCAAAAGGATTAACTGCTGTACTGTACCAGGGCAGACAGACACGGCACAGGCCACCAAAGAGATGCACAAACAGCATACTGTCAGCGTCAGACAAAACAGACAATTTCGGCAGTACTGTACCAGGGCAGACTGACACGGCACAGGCCACCAGGGAGTAGCTGGTGTTGAGCAGCACCACCTGGTCCTGCTTGAGTTGGAAGGCTGGCTGGAAGGTGGGGAAGGGGTAGACCACCTGGTACCGCGAGTTCAGCACATAGCCGTGGGCTAGGCACTGTGAGCTGCCTGAGAGAGAAAGAAACACCTGTAGGATTCCCAGATCTCCAGTCACCCAGTAACTGTTTGCCAATTGTTATCGCTTAAGCAACGCTTTTATTGCTCAAGCCAGTAACAGTCTCTCAAGCCGAGTATGAGACACAAAGCACAGTGGACTGAGGAGGCAGAGAGGTGGGGCCACATACCTGACTGTGATGCAGCGGGTGGGCCAGTACAATGGGTGCAGGGCCGTGAGGGAGGCATTGTTGCTACGGTGACATAGATGTCCCTGTTGTTCTCATCGCTCATCATCAAATTCATCAGCACAGAACTGGAGCTGCGGGTACTGACACATAATTGCCATGGCACACACTGACCCCAACACCACACCCTGATGCACACCAACTGAGATATCACACTGACCCCAGTGCTACACCCTGACACACACACAGAACACAAACCGGCCACAACACCACAACCCCCCAATTTCTCCAAACCGAAAGACTCAGTTTTGCTTACTTGAAGCCGAAGATGACAATTTTGGAACGGTCACTGGGCCACTCACACACCGTTAGGTACAGGTCACTGTAGATCTCCTCCCCCGCAAACAGGCGCACCTGCCTCACCTGAGGGGAGAGTACATAACACATGTCGGAAAGGTCACCTTTTCCAGTTTGTGACTTTGTTCACTGTTACTGGACACTTCACTGGCCCCAGGTGTGTGTGTGTGTGTGTGTGTGCAGGGGGATTCTCACAGTGATGTCCTATCTAGGTGAATGCAGGGATGTCTCACCTGGCGCAGGCGGCTGTGCAGGTTAAACTCCCACCAGTAGAGGTGATAGATGTAAAAGGAGAAGTCATCCTCCCCACAGTCGCTGGTATAGGACAGGACATACCGGCCACACTTTGTGAAGCCCAGGAAGATGTGACTGCACACACAGGTAAAAACAACACAACACTGTAGGCTCCCGTGATACCAAAACAGGAGAAAAGAAGGACAAAGAGAACAAACAGAACAACAGACACATGCAGGTAGACCCAGAAAAATATATTTAGAGAAAAACAGAATCAGGCACAGGAGCT